TATTAACAGTTATGTAAACATACTAATGTCTGGGCTTTATTAACAGTTATGTAAACATACTAATGTCTGGGCTTTATTAACAGTTATGTAAACATACTAATGTCTGGGCTTTATTAACAGTTATGTAAACATACTAATGTCTGGGCTTTATTAACAGTTATGTAAACATACTAATGTCTGGGCTTTATTAACAGTTATGTAAACATACTAATGTCTGGGCTTTATTAACAGTTATGTAAACATACTAATGTCTGGGCTTTATTAACAGTTATGTAAACATACTAATGTCTGGGCTTTATTAACAGTTATGTAAACATACTAATGTCTGGGCTTTATTAACAGTTATGTAAACATACTAATGTCTGGGCTTTATTAACAGTTATGTAAACATACTAATGTCTGGGCTTTATTAACAGTTATGTAAACATACTAATGTCTGGGCTTTATTAACAGTTATGTAAACATACTAATGTCTGGGCTTTATTAACTCTTTGTGTTTGTTTTAGCCTACATGATGTTTTCATGGTAAAATATCACATGTTGACAACACCATGGAAACAGCCATGCCGCTGAAAAACAGACAATGTTACAAGTTCAATAAACATGTTGTCATTGTTTTAAGACAACAAAATAAAAGTAGGAGTGGCTACTGTCTAAAATAATAAAAACTATTAAAATTAAATATATGTTAATCAAAATAATTTTACATATTAAATGGCATTTGTCGTAGCGGCACGCATGCGTGAGATATTGAACTCATATGGACAAAGATAGCAACTTTAACTGTTGCGCAGACCAACGAGTACAAACTGAGACAATGCTAAGTTTTAGTTGATTGGAAGGTATCAAAAGAGTCACTGATAATAATTAGTGTATGTTGTGTCTAGGTCAAAACACATACGCATGATTTCCATTAGGAGAACACATTGGATTGTGGGAAAATTAATGTTTATCAACTCAAATGTTGCACATGAGCGGTACAATACCCACCGCACTTTAAGTTTCAGTTTGACACCTTACATGAAAAAAACAGCAAAGTGTACTTAATGTATAAGTTGGCAAAATGATGTGTTGTTTCATGGTAAACACAAGATAAATCTAAATCACCTACAAACTCTACATCCACCCTGGTGTTGACCTCTTCATGGTGTACCTACCTATTATAAAGTCATGGTACCATCAGCTTTTTTCTAGTCAATGCGTTGAGCTAACATGGTCTATTCTGGGAGTGGCTGCTACACTAGGAAGTATACATTATACTGTATATTGTTGAAAGGCGGTATATATATCAAAATTATTGGGGGGGGGAAATAGTCAGCAGGCATTGGCTTAACATTTCTCATCAACAGTTTGGATAAAGGATTTCATTTCACACCATCAGACGATGTAAGCAGTGGTTATACATGTACTACATATTGACTTTACAGTACAGGTAATGGAAGGAATGTGTCTTCAACAAGATTTGTCATCCAAATTTGTTTTATTGTTATCTCTTATGTATTGTATGTTTTTTATTTCTTTGTATTTCTGTTCCTTACCATACAAAAACCCTCTGAAGGTTTTTAGTAGTGTAATAAAGTTATTATTTAAATGTTTTTACCTATTGACCTATACTTAATTAATACGTGGAAGGGAGAACGTATGCATGAATGTCCCCGTCTTGTTCACTTCAAAAGGCCATGGTACATGTATACAAATGACATCAACCATACTTGAAATCTCACCTTTAGCATCCTTAACCACTCAATTATAATGCATATGCTAATTAGTGACATGCTCGGTTAATGTTGTACATTCTTCACATTATTTCACTATGAGTAACATTGTTATTTAGATAGAAATGAATATATAGTCATCTGAAAAATACCAGATTTGTAATTATATTGATTTGAAAAAAAGTTTTTGACATGGACAAGGTCATTCCTAGAGACATGTACATTGTATTTTAAAATACAGTTCACAGTTAACTGCTGCAATTCTGCAAGTCAATGGAAATTGTTAAATGTAGCAGTGAAAATTGCTCCGGGGTCGTATAACATGTACATGTAGTGTCAGCGTGAGAAATTTTCACAAATGCCATAAATTCATCAAATAGCAGCAAAAATATAAGCAGTTTACAGTAAAGTACACTTGTTTCACACTAAATCTGTTTGTAGACATTTTGTTTTATTTTGATTGGTTGAAAGATTATATATAAGAATATAAATAGATAGTCAAAAAGCATTATCAGGCATGACCTGTCCTGTTTTTGACCCTGGTTTGACCTTGGTGACCTTGATTTAACCTTGGTGACCTTGATTTATCAACTATATGTATGCATCATGAAGGTGATGGTCATTTTTAATAGCTGAGCAATTAACTTTTTATTTATAAGAATTTGATTGTTAGTAGAAATTCAATCTGTCCAATCAGTTATCTGCAAATATTTAGTCAATGTTTGGCTTTTCTCAAGTACTACTCACTCCATTTCAATGAAACTTAGTGTATATGTGCTCTGAGACAATGCAAAGACCTGTGTAATAATTAGTTTTTCAGGTTTTCCAACAATATTTCATGAACCAATCATTGCATTTCAATGAAACTTTAGTGCATAGGTCATTGTGAAATTTTGTCTTCACAAATTTAAGTTGCATTTATTTAATAATTATTTTACTTAATTTAGATTGTATTTTCTTTCTTTTATTTTTTGTTTTGTCTTGTTATTTATGAGTATCTTCTTCATCTCACTTTATTATACTTGATGAAAATCCCAATACAGGTATAACCTGTCAATAAAGTTATTATTGTTATTATTATTTCAATGTCATAACGGAAATTCCTGGCAACGAACAAGGCACAGACTTACCAGTTTGGGATTGAAAATCTGTACATACTAATTACCTGATTTGAATTTGCAATGATCATAAATTAATTTTAAATATTCTCTATTAACAATTTTACTGTATTATGTTTTTGTTGCAGTTTGCTGAACAGAAAATATGGATACAATCGAAATGATTTTAAAACTATTTGTTATTGTCACATTCCAATTTTTAACAGTGGCTGGTAAGTTCATCATATTTAATATATACACTACAGCACTGCATCTTGGGATGCAATACAGCAAAACATCTCCACTCCACACGTGGTGCAATACTTCAAGAATATATATGTGTTAAAAGCGGGGGAGTCGTCACCTGTGCATACAGCAAACGACCCTAGCATGACGTTGTTTACAAACAAGCATCTGCCCGTGAGCCTTTGCATTTGTAGCGTTGTTATCTTCGCTTGGGATTAAATTCCCGCATGTACAGGTGACGACCCCTCTGCTTTAAATTCAGGTAGCATTCCATAATACGCATACCGTCCATGTATTTATTACATAATGTATTTACGCTATTGAAAGCTGATTTTAATTGGAGGCACATATACATCCATAAAACATACTTGTCTGTCATTCTGTTATAAGTATGTTATCTGCTGATGGTTTATAAATGTAAACTTCCTATTATCATAAATACCTGTGCAAATATGGTGAAGTTATAGTATCACAAGATCAGGAGTAATTTTTGGCTGTTTGACTGCAAACTCAATACATGTACTTTTGTTTAGATACAAATCAGATTAGGCCTTTTGTTATTTTATTTTCACAGGCTATAACATCAGTGATCTTTGTGGTGGATGTGAAAATGGTGGTTCATGCAACTTGACAGTCTTAGAATGCATCTGTCCAACACAATATTCAGGGTTTTTATGTGAAGATTGTGAGTATCAAAAAATAAGCAATAAACCATTGCTATTGTATCATAATATACCAATTTCATGTAATTCTTAGACATAGAAATAACTTTAAAGCATGAAAACTCATGTACAAATGAGATAAATTCTAAAAATCGGCCTTGTAATTAGCATACAGCAATTATATTCAGACCTATATTTTGGCGGTGTGAGGTTTGTTGAAGTAGTTTCTTGTTAGCGTCAATGTTAATATATGTAAAATTTTCACAATTGACGAGTTCACAAGTCAGCTACTGCAGATGGCAATAGTTTTTAGGGCGTCATTTGCATAATTCTGAAGAAGAAAAAATGCATCTCTTTTGAAGTCCAAAAACCCAAGAGTCTCAATGTGTAATTTATAACTATATTTCAAAAAAATTATTGTTAGCTGATTTCTGTTGACAGCAAGAATTACTGAGATACTGAGTGGTATACACTCATGGGGCCTACTTTTAAATATCAAAAAATGGTATACGGTGTATTTTACCATTATAGCTTGCATAATTAAAGAAAAAACTCTCAACCAATCAGAATGATGTATTTGGGCAATTGAAATGCTGGTATAATGCATTGTCTATTCATTGTATATACATATCAAATATATACAGTACAGTTTTTGTGCAATGTGTCATATTACTGCATTGATACTGTGCATGCATAGCATTAGTGTCTGACATTTATTACATTAATATCACGTTTTTATCACATTTCCATTATATTTCATATTCTCATCACAAATTTGAATCACCACACTGAATATCTCAACTGACTTAAGGTAGAGATGCATGTTTGTGGGCACTTGGGAGTGAATTTTTTTTTCTTTGCTTTTTATTATCCAAACAGTCTTGGTTAAAATTTTGTAGAATTGTGAATCGTGGAACATACTCAAAAAATGATTTTAAAATATAGATAACAGGTGCAAACATTCTCCTATTTGAATGCTTAGCAAGATATAGAAAGGCTGTACATAAATAATAAAAAAGAAACATGGTGAAAAAAAGAAATGACGGGATCTCCATATTATGCACTATATTTAACTTTTAACAAAACGATAATACATTTAAATTTGGAACTGTTACAGCCATTTTAATTATGAGCATTAGCAAACTTCTTACTGAGTGAATTGTTATGCAAATTAGCAATTATCGCAGCTTCTTTTTAGTGCACATCCCAGAACTTTAAAAAAGAATAGCTCCTAGACACTTTGAGCTTTTGTTTTGAAATTTTCACAAATGATTGACAATGTGTTTATCTTCAAAACGCGGTTGGGGCATTGTTTTTGGTTGAACAGTGTTACAACCATTGTACAGACAACTAGCCTGGGTGTTAATTTATGCATAAACTTGAAGTAGTGAAATTTGGGCTGCTGCTCTGCAAAATTGACAACTGGTAGACAGTTTTCAAAACGGCGATTTCTTCATAGTAAACAGATGTACCCATAAACCAATTTTGACAGGAAACAGAAGCATGGTTTAGGAGCTAATTTTTTTAAAATCACTTTTGACCAAAAAAGCACATTTTTGTGCATATTTCAAACTACAGTGTCCATAAAAAAAAATACTAAAAATTTTTTAAAATTCATACAATAAGCTTTCTGAAAATATATAGTTTTGTGGACAAGGGAGGTCATTTTGGTTTCCTAATTAACTAATTAAAATACCTGTCAGGTAAACTGCATCTCTACCTTAATGTAACTTCTCTGCGCACTTGTGTCTTTCAGTTCATTTTACACCAGAACCAGATATTAAAAGTCTAGCTTCACTGTCCTCACCGTAGTGTTTTATTCCTCCAAACAGCAATATGGCCAGCTAAGTTGTTGATGGGTTTGCTGTGCATAGGTTTACATTGTTGGGTCAATTAACCAACACTGAAAGACACATTGAACATCAATAGTCAAACCCTATTTATTTCATTGAATCATATAAATTTTTTTTTTTTTGCATCTCCCACAGAGTATAAAGATTAATAAAGTAATAATAAAAAAAAATAATGTTCAAATTGCCAAATAATATAGTAGTACACAACAATTCAATAAGTTACAATCTAATTGATTAAATGCAAAATAACAAATGTCAGTGTCTGTTCTGTTACACTAGAAAATTATTCCATTTGTTCCAAAAAAATTTTGTTGTGTCCTTTCTGGTTGAGAGTAGTAATTCATGCTTTTTATTGTATCTCACCTTTGCTATAGCTATGTTGAAGTTTGGCATATCTTTTTTAAGCTTGCTGTTGTAAATGCATTTTTTAATGATAAGTATAATATGGTTGAGTAGAATGGATAAAGTTTTCATCTCCAAAGATAATTTGTTTGCTTGTGAATTTATTTTGGTTCTTAAGGCCTTACCATTAAGTCAGTCTTACTTGCAGCATGGTCACGTATACAATGCATGTTACGCTACATAGAGTTGTTGTCCTGATCATTTCGCTGCTTTCTCAATACATTTCTTATTATGCCGGTGTAATATAGAAATGTTAGGTGATCATATTGTTCAGTTCTAATCACATAACAATCTGTAGATTAGCATAGCGACAACTAGTCAACTATTTAGCAGTACATGTAACTGGCAATGTTTCCAATACTTTATATTGCTGGTTAAGCCAGTATACGAGATACTTGATGGCATATAAGATCAAAGTATGAATAATTCAGATTATGCAACAAGGAGACTACTAATTAGAATATTAATTAATTCTATATTATGGTACAGCTATACAAATATAATGGATATATCTGAAATGCACTGGTAATTAATGTCTAAATTACTAATGTTCTGTTATTACAGTAAAGTTTGATTGTCGGATTGATGGCATTGTTTGTATGCATGATGGGTCGTGCTCCCAACAAACCGGTAAATGTATTTGTGTTGATTCCTATTATGGAGACCAATGTGAACACACTAGAGGTGAGCAATTAATATGCATATCAATGTGTTCTATAACTAGGAGTAATGATGCTAAAATGGTTCTCTCACAAATGCAATAAGTAACTAAGGATCTATATAAAATGGCAGCGACACCATACACTTCCTTATACCTCAATCTAGCTACTCTTTCTTCACAAGAAACACACAAATGTTGATGTACATATACATTTAATACCACATAAAGCAGTTGCAATAATCCAGAGAGTGTGACACTAAATACTGACAGCTCATCATGACAAAAGGCTGGTATATCATAACAATCATTAAATGCCATTTGGATGAGGGATACACAGGATATCATACATGTATATAAGTTATACCATATTTGTCCAATACACTG